AGACATGGAGGGAGTGGCAGGAAGGACTGTCCAGGTGCTGATGGGCAGCTGGTAAGGGCTGGTTGGTGGTTTGTGGTGAAGGTCCTGGCGTCGTGCTGTGAAATGCCACCTCGCAGCCAACAGAGGGCGCTGAGCAGAGGAGGGACGGTGTGGTCAGACTTCTGGTCCGCCTGCTCTGGAAGCTTGTTGAGCCAACCTGGGCAAGGGTGGGCAGCCAGTGAGTGCAGGTAATGAGAAATCATCAGATTCCACATGCATTTTGAATATAAATCCAACAGGATTTGCTGATGAGCTGAACACGTGCATGAAAGAAGGAAAGAAAGAGAAGAGCTGAAGGTGACAATGAGGTTTTCGGTCTCAGCGATGGAGGGATAGACTTGCATTAGCCAGACAGGACAGACTGTGGGAGGACCTGGTTGGGGAGGACATCGGAAGAGCCTCGTGTGGACACGGCAGTGTGAAAAGTGTATTGGACACCCAGGTGGAGGTGTTGCAGGGTGGGAGTTGGGGCTGTGAGCCCTCAGCGTGTGGGGGGTGTTCAAAGGCAGGAGACTGGGTCTTCACCAGCAGGTGCCTACGTGGAAGAGCTGCCAGGATGCTCTGGGGCTTCTCTGGCAGCAACACAGTTTTGTTTTAGCTGTTGATTCCCTTAGAACACGAGTATCCCACAAGCACAGTTTGAGCATACAGAATATAGTTTAATTCTTTAATTTCCTTAAAAATATACTCGCAGTTTTCCAGGCTGGCACAGGAATCTCGGTGATGTCCCACAGCACTGTAGAGCACTGTGGGGGTGGAACTTGGCGGCCGTTGTGCAGCAGTTCCAAACAGTCAGCAGGTCCTAAACGGAACTCACAACTTCTCTTAAGTTTGGGGCATTTTATGGTCTTCTGGCCTGAGTTCTAGTGCTGTAGAGTCCATTTCCTCTGTCCACTCATAACATTACAGTTGAGTTATGTGCTGACTGTTCAGTTTTGCTCATGTTCTCAAGAAACTCATGGCCAAATGTGATTCGGGCACGAGCACTTTCAGAGTTCCCACAGCTACTCTTTTCATATCTGTAACATTTAAAAGATGATTTTCATATTAGCATACTTGGAGGATTAACGGTAGAAACCTTAGAAAGTTCCTTATACTGCAAAAGAGGTTGTATTCCAGTGTCTGAGAACATGGGCCTTGTCTCTTCCCACATTCCCACTGAATTCTTAGCACAAACTTCCTTGCCTTTTGCCTCATCCTTTCTTCTTACATGAAGTACCAAATTAAAGAGAAAATCCTATACAATGCTGCTGACGGTGATGGAGCTATAGCGATTAGTTCTCATGTCACTTACATTCCCTAATTGAGAACTCTTAAGTGGAAGTTTAAACTCAAACGTTAGTAGAACCCTTTTTCTTTCTTTATTTTTTGTTTGCATTTTGGAGACAGAGTCTCACTTTATCACCCTCGGTAGAGCGCTGTGGTGTCACAGGTCACAGCAACCTCCAACTTCTGGGCTTAGGTGATTCTCTTGCCTCAGCCTCCTGAGTAGCTGGGACCACAGGCACCCACCACGACACCTGGCTATTTTTTTTTGTAGTTGTTTACAGTTTGGCTGGGGCCAGGTTTGAACCTGCCACCCTCGGCATATGGGGGCGGTGCCCTACTCACTGAGCCACAGGTGCTGCCCAGTAGAACCCTTTTATTAATGGGAAAATTGGATCATGCCTGCCATTTCCTCTTAGCGATCATCTGTGGCAGAAAGTACCCAGTTACCACTCTTGACGTTTGTGTTGAATGTGCTGGGAGTTTTGACCCTCTGGTGGGGGGACAGTGACACTGTCTGAGGATACGTCAGGTCTTTTGAATGGTCTCCCAAACGTCTTTGCTCTGTCCTTGTACAGTTGATGAAATACCTTCCTTGACTCCCATGCAAGAGTAACATCCACAGGAGAAGCTTTCAGGGTGATTGTGTTAAGCAGCCATCAGTCTTCATGAAGATGGCTCTGTGACTTCTCTCTTCTCAGCCCCACCCCATAGCTCCCTTCCCCCACCATCAGCGCACCCATATTTCACTGTAAAAATACATCCTCAGAAGCCCTCACCAGCCCCAGCAAGCCTCCCAGTTGCCCCCTTTTGTGCCTAGACAGCTTGCTTTCTCCAGGTGGGGCTGGTAGACTGTGTCCCGGTCCAGAGCGTACGCCCCCAGGGGATGTGGGTGTGGCCCCTGCTCTATCTCTACCATATCACTGTGGTTCACACTGCAAAGTGCTGTAATATCTTCAGTTAAAAAACATCCAACAATGACGTCAGCACGACGCCACCTGGAGTTCCCAGTGCTCATTCCCCTGTGCAGAGTGGTGTGAGTCACCAGGGGGTTCTGCAGAGCAGCCAGGATGAGGGCCAGCGCTGTGGGGGCAAGTTGGCTGACAACTGGCTGACAACACTTTCTAGAGCTCTTTCTTCACGCCCCTGTTGGTGACGTCCCCTTTTCTTTCCTCTCTCTCAGTGCTCATTTCAGTGCTCTCTGCCACTGTCTCCTCCATCCCTGTAAAGTGGAGTGGCCGGGGCTCACCTGCCGCCCCTTCTGTCCTGCCCTCACACTCAGGACCCTGC